TACTCCGTACAGACTGATTCCATTAGCGCCAGAAACTGTGCGCCCGAGGAGATCTATTCATCCCAAGATCGAAGACTAAGGTGGTGCCGTGGTCCATTTGTTGGATGTCGACTGTCGAGGCCAAGATTATGACTTGATGACTGGCTGCAAATTAATATCTACATGATTCTAGCTGGTTTCTGAGCGTGTTCGATGCAGGTCAGCAGGGCCAATGATGGTCGGTAGAAGGGCGAGTTGAAGCGGCACAAAGCCACAAACCCTGCCGCTAGAGTCTGGGGGTTAGTTGACCATGCTGTTCATAGCAGGGATTGGCATCTCCCGTTGCCGATTTCCTCAGTCGTGACTCGTGCTTGTAAATTCCGTGTCAGAGTGTAGACTAAATACTCTTAGTTTTTGATGAGAAGGCTTGATGAGCTAGTCTACATCCGCGACTAAGAAGAGAAAAAGCAATACTTGCAGATGCCGATGCCCCACCTCGTGCTCTGAGAAAAAACCAGACTCAACAAACCAGCGCACTGATCTCGTTCCTCATTCAGACCAGCTGGATACCTAGAGGCCTCCTCTCAATAAGAAGACTCTCTCTCCCTTTCCATTGCCTTCAGAAATTGTGACTTTACACCGGCTCGGCTCTTCTCTCTACAGCCAAGAAAGAGAGTTGTTCCTCTTCCCCCTCCCCGAGTCCGCTGTCCAACCACCGGCTAAATTGTCACACCACCTTAACTTATAACCAGGACTGGCCGTTTGGCTGCTGAGATCCTACCAGTCCTCTCCTTTTATATTTGTCTAGCTCGAGTTTTACCTTCTATATCAAACAACATATACCTGCTCCCGTTCCTCACCAACTCTTCGGATCCCTTGCGAAACATTTTCCCCACGGGGTTCGGCCGGCCGCCTTTGTAAAGTCCCCCCGCGCACAGGCCGTCCCGTCCAGATCTTTGTCACCTCCGACCCCCGTTCCGCCTCCCAAACCTTGTCATGGCTCGCCTCGACCGACTGTCTCCCTCTCAGTGAGACCTCGTCGTCTGCGATCGTTTCCAAGGCTCGGGTCCTCCGTCCCCAGTCTGATGGTCACACTCGACACAGACGAGGCTACCGCAGGTCCACTACAGGGTATCGGATAAGCCCGACGACGCAAGATCGGGAACAAAACCGCCCACTACTGCGAGGACAAATTGTGCGCATACCCCACGACGTCTCCCGCATCTGTCACACGATATGACCTTCGCTGTTGGTGCAGTCACCGCGTTGGATCAGGAACTCGACTACAAACGAAAAGAACCGGGCGATAAGGAAGCGGCCATGGAGACCGACGCCCTGCGAGCAGACGGTGCGCCGCGCAAACGCAAGAGGGCCCGGAAAGTGAACTCGGATCGGAAGTTTGAATGTACACATGAGGGCTGTGGCAAGAGCTATTCGCGTGCTGAGCATCTCTACCGCCACCAACTGAATCGTATGTCGGGCGTCTTCCCCGTTTCGGTGGATGCGAATGACTGATGTATGACTTGCTCTAGACACTCCCAAGCAGATTTATCGATGCGATTTTCCGGACTGCTACCGGACCTTTGTACGACAAGATCTCTGCGTTCGGCACCGTGAACGGCACACGACACAAGGCTCTCAGCTTCAGAAACGGGACCATTTCGCGCAAGCTGCTTCGCAGAATCAACAGCAAAGCCAGTTGCCTCACAATGTGGTCGACAATACTGTTCCGCAGATAGGCAGCACCCAGCAGCCGCCGATCTTGCCTGCGACTACCGTTGATTTGACATCGGCGCGCTCCGTGACCACCTTTTCTGAAGGCGGGGTGGAGACTCTGACACCCCAGTCTGTCAATGGTTCCAGCAAGCATATATCAGTCTCATCGTCGGCGTCGATGTCGCTCAGCCGACCCCTCAACTACCAACCGTTGGTTGCTCAGCATGGTGTGGGGACACCAGACTCGACTGCATCGAGGTCTAACAGCTTGAGCAACCATAGCATTCATTCTCCTCCTGGTCAAGCAAATGCTCCCTTCAGCCCTTCAGACCTTCAGAAGCCAGCGTATGTGCCGCTTACCGGCCGCCACTCCATATATTCGTCGGGCAGCAGCCCTGGTGATCAGACTTGTCAACTAACCGGACTGCATCCCGTTTCTAGGACAAGAACTCAAGACGCTGCAGTATACTCCATGTCAACCGACGTCAACAGCTCTTCAGTAGTTCAGTCGTTGCCGTATGGCTCTCCGACGGGCCTGCAAATGCCTGTCGGTGGATTTCCCAACCTTTCGATGAATACCGAGCCGTCCTCCACCCAGGCGTCGCTAGACAGAACAACCAGCATTCCTGGACTAGATTCCCTATCGGGGATGATCGCTTCCGCAGATCCCGCATTCGACCCGATGGCCTCTTGCGTCTATCCGATTTTCGGCGGCGAAACATACAACAACCGCTCCCCCTTTGCGATGGCCGATGACTTCACCGCGTGGCTGTTCAACGAACCTCTTCCGGGATCGTCGTCGCTGGCCTATCCTCCCACGGCTTCCATGATGGCGAACTATCTGGATCCAACACAACTGCAGAATCAGTTCCTCATCGGCGAGCCCGCGTTCGGCAGTTTCCTGAACGGCGTTCTTCCGCAACATCCAATGAGTGTCACCAGTATCTTAGATCCAGGTTCGCCCCAGGCGATCATGTCGGAGGAGAAGCGACAGGAGTTGCTGCATCTCATGGCCACTCGATTTAACGAAGCCGCCTATTCCGCGGTGGCAAAGCGCAAGGATGCTCTGATGGATGGAGACCTCGACGACGACAGCCATGTTCTGAGCTTGCGCATGATGCAGACATATATCGGTTCCTACTGGTACCACTTTCACTCGCAGCTCCCCATTCTGCACCAACCTACTTTTGTCGCGGATAAGGCGCCAAATCTACTTCTTTTGGCCGTCATGGCCATTGGAGCAGCCACCCTGGACAACATCCATGGACAAGAGGTGACCGAGACGGCTGCGGAACTGGCCAACTTCATAGGCTGGCATCTGCGATGGGAGATTTTCATGGATGCTGATTTCCGACCGCCCGCGAAGCTCTGGGTCTTCCAGGCTTTACTCCTGCTCGAGGTGTTTGAAAAGATGTACTCGACTCGCGCATTGCACGAGCGGGCACATATTCATCACGACACCACCCTGACGCTGATGCGTCGCGGCAGCTCGTTGATCGGCCGCTCCGCGCTCGACTCACCCGCAAGCTTCAGAGATGACCGGCAGACCCGGTCCACAACAGGATCTGCTTCGAATTCGGAATTTGCCGCGGACGATTCCTGGACACACTGGATCAAGGCGGAGGCCACCAGGCGGGTTGCATTTGCGGCCTTTGTGCTGGACTCAACCCATGCCACTATGTTCGGGCATTCGGCGAAGATGGTGGCCCATGAGCTCCGGCTCCCGCTGCCCTGCGACGAAGCCTTGTGGTCCGCCACCAGTGCCGCCGAAGTTGCGCGCGTTCAATCCAGCCTGCATGCAAACGGTGTGAAACCCACCATGTTTCTCGACGGGCTCAAAAAGACGCTCAACGGACAGCGCGTTACCACGAATGCCTTCGGGCGCACTGTCCTGATGGCCGGCCTGCTTAGTGTCAGCTGGCACATGAATCAGCGCGACCTCCAAGTCAGCTCGCTGGGCGTCCCACAGGCCCTCGGTGGCCGAGACAAATGGCGATCAGCCCTTTTGCGAGCTTTTGATAATTGGCGGCGTGATTTCGACGAGGCCCTGGCTCAGGCCGGACCTCCTCCGTTCCCTAATCAATACCGGCGGCATTCTCTCGAAGACGAGGGCGTTTCCGAGTCCCGCGACGTCCTGCATGGACTGGCTCACATGGCCTCGCACGTCGACATTGTGGACTGTCAGATATTCGCAGGAGCGGGCCGACTCATGGGGCGATCGATCACTCCACGGGACTACAGCGCTGCCCGTGAGAAGATGACCGAACGATGGGCCACCAAGGCCTCAGCGCGAGACGCGACGTTTTACGCCCTCAAGTTTCTCTCCGAATGTCTTTTGAACAACCGGAGTGTATCCGAAGAAAGCGGAACCTACTCCGGACGCGACGACTATCTGCTCAACCGGCCATGGGTCATCTACGTTGCAGTGCTGGTCGTCTGGTGCTATGGGTATGCGCTCGACGGGCCGATCGCCTCGCCTCCGACGCTGGAAACGGTAGCCGAACAGCAACGCGACATGGAAGCTTTTCTCCGCCGGGTGGGCGGGGTGCGTGAGCCCAACGAGTTGGCGACGATGAAAGGTCGCAACCAGTGTCTCGGCTTGTTGATGATCTTGCGGGTTGGCTTTGCGAACACACGGTGGGAGCTGCTCTCTGAAGCATCAAACCTGTTGCAAAGCTGCATCAACAAGTTGCGGAACGAGACGCGGCGGTTGAGTTGAAGACCCTTGGCCTTGAGGCGTTCTTCGATGTATGGTTTATCAATTTATGGTTCTGGAGGGAGATCTGCCATGTTATGATTTGATTTATTGTTTGCATGATGTGATACCACGGGTTGGCGATTGTTTTGTATACTGTTGTAGGGATATCTAGTACGGAGTATGTATGAATCTTTCTCTACATGTATTCGACTTGACTTTTAACCAGTAAATTTCGATTCCAGGCCCGCATCTGCATGCATTTAGTGCCAGAAATAAGCTATGTCATCTCATCTGGATCGCCGGGGTCAGTCATCCACCCTTGCTGGTTACCACAACAACCACCCGCCTAAACACCGCCAAACCCACACCGGGCCAACTTCTAATCTTCACTCCTCCTCGCATGATCATCTTCTCCATCGATTATCCCGGCCGTCTTCTACGTGTTTATAAGGGTCCATCATTGTTTACCATCTTGACAATACATTTTGTTGCAGCCATTGACTCTACCTTTCTTTGTTGCAGCATACCGAATCAACCCCTGAAACGACAACATCAACCATGGTACGTCTGGGATCCTCCTCCACGCCAGCACAGAACATACGGAGGAATGTCGCATGTGGATAGCCTCACGAGGAGAGCGGAAGTGAGACTGAAACTGCATGCAATTCCTCCTGTTGCTGCTTCCTCCCTTGCGTCGCGTCGTCTTCTGTTTAGTATTTTCCCGTTGCGTTGCTGCCATTCTCGGATCGCCGCCTCTCCCCTCATCTTCACGCCCTGCACCAACCAGTGGTTCTGGTTCCCGTTCTGGTTCCGAACAACTGAACTTCCCTCCGTCATTTCATTCTCCATCCCCAGTTCCTCCTCCATCATCATAGTCTATCTGCTGGGGAAAAAAAAATACTGCTTTAAAATGCCTCGCTCACCTAATTCTCACAACGACCAGGCCTCAACCAACTACAAGGAAGCGTTCTCGCTCTTCGACAAGCGCGGCACGGGAAAGGTATCGCTCGAGTCGCTCGGTGACCTGCTGCGCGCATGCGGCCAGAACCCTACCCTCGCGGAGATTGCAGATCTGGAGAAGAGTATCGGCGGCGACTGTAAGCCCAAGCTCTTTGTGACCCTGTTTCTGGCTTTGTGGTCTGGCAGCTGACAATACTGCTAGTTGACTTCGAATCGTTCCTGAAGGTGCTGAACCGCCCTGGTGGATTCCGCGAGCCCGGCGAGCCCGAGGAATACTGTCGGGGATTCCAGGTGTTTGATAAGGATATGACCGGGTTTATTGGGGTGGGGCAGTTGCGCTATAGTATGTTGCTCTGCTGCCCGTGCAGCTGGCTGTGGACGAGGGTGCTGACTGCTGTAGTTCTCACGAATCTGGGCGAGAAGATGTCGGACGAGGAGGTCGATGAGCTGCTGAAGGCGGTTGATACCAGCTCCGGCGAGATCAACTACACCGGTATGTTTTCTTGTTTGATTCGCTACGCTAATGGCTAATGCTAACTTGATATCGCAGAACTCGTCCGCACGATCCTGGCCAACTGAACGATTACGATACCCCCCTTGACGCTTCCACGATGGTTTTACGATGTGCGCTGCGCGTCCGTCCACGCAGTCGGTGACTTGACTTGTCGGTCGGCTTTGAACAATTAGTTTATATTCAGATAATATGATTTTTGTACTGTATCTTGTGTTCTGTAGATGAAGATGGAGACCCGTAGGATCCCTATTGAGAAATCCACTCGCTCCACTCCCGATCCATCGCCCGCATCTTCTCCTCATCGCCCATAATCTCCGTCTCCATCAACGCCCCGGGAAGTAAATATACAACCCGCGGCTCCTGATCCGCCCCTTCCCCTTCAACTACATCCTCGCTCTTCCCATGTGCAACAGGAAAATGTACCTCATCCAGGAAATACCCCACGACAACCCGACACCGCCCACACCGCAGGAACCGCCTCTTCTCGAACCCGTCTTCCCGACGGATCAGCGTCGCCTTGCGATCGGGTAGAGTTGTAGATAGGAGGATGGTGTAGTGCTTCTGTTTCAGTTTCTGCTTGCTCCTTTTCCTGCCCCCCTGTCCTTCGCCTTGGTCTTCTGTTTTTTCGGCCTGGTTGGGTTCAGGTTCGGTTGCGTCTGCGTCTGCGTCTAGCTCGTCGTCATCTTCATCGTCGTCAACGCGCGGAAGAGGGAGAATCAGGGCGTTATCCTGCGCTGGGGCTTTTCGGTGGGGGAGAGTCGATATTGTGCGCGTTGTGGCTAGGAGGAGGTGGTTGCAGAAGCGGCAGTGGTGGGTGTGGACTTTTAGGCGCTGTTGCTGTTGTTCGTGTTGTTGGTTGTCGTCTTGTTGTGCATGTGAGGGCGAGCGGGATGGGGAGGCGGAGGGGTTTGTAGTGGACATTTTTATTTTATTTTCTTAGGCAGGTGTGAGTGTGAGTGTGAGTGTCGTAGGTGGTTATTTTGTGGTTGAGAGGATTGATGTACTGGGAGAGTTTATGTGAAGTGGTGAGTTGGGGTGGTGTGTCTTATCGATAAGATAGATAGCTAGCTACGCACCACTCTACGCCGGGACCGAGCTACAAATGGTAAATACAGGTATGAAGCGGAGCGAATTCTTTGATTGTGTTAAGCTTCTAATCAACTGTAGTAGATGAACTAAGCCAGCCCCAATTCCTTGTAAAAGGCGTCCGTCTTGGGCTCGCGGCCGAGGAAGTCGGTCAACGTCTTCATCTCGTCCTGGCTGCCGCCCTTCTCGAGGACGCCGTAGCGGTATCTGCGACCAGCGGCTGGGTTCATCGGGTCGTCCTTGAAGATGGTGTAGAACATGTCGGTCGAGTAGACTTGGGAGCTGCGGTCGGTTAGATGATTGCAAGTACTTAAAAGAGGAAGAAGAAGGAAGGTTACCTGAGATATCCGTAGTATCCGGCATCATAACCCCCAATCAAGTGGCCAAAGGTTGCTTCGCCGTGGCCCCATTCGTCGCCCAGTCCTAGGACCTCCGGGCCGTCCTGCAGCGCGATCTGCTTACGCAGCTGGTTGTATGTGGCGGAGATGGGCAGCTTCTGGATCTGCTCGTGGCTCTCGGCTTCGTGCACCGTCATGTCGAAGATGCCAAAGTGCAGCTGGCGGAGGTTGAACAGCGCGTCGTTGACGTGCTTGGTCCGGATCAGGTTCTCGATGACTTCGTCGGGAATGCGCTCTGGCGGCTGGGACTTGCCGTTGGCCTGTTCTTGCCATGCGGCAAGGTACTCAGGCGACAGGGCCGAGTAGTGCTTGCTCAGGGACTTGAGCTGGGACGGTGTCCAGCACCAGTTCTCCAGCATCTGACTTGGGGCTTCCACAAAGTCCCGGACGGTGCTGGTTCCGTGGAAGCGCGAATAGATCGTCTTGGAGACGAGGTCGTGAATGCCGTGTCCGAGCTCATGGAACAGGGTCACCACCTCGTCATGCTTGAGGAGACTAGGTTTCTTCGCCGTGGGCTTGGTGAAGTTGCACACCAATGCAGTGGCGGGGTAGCGCCGCTTGCCGTCAGCGTCGACGAAGCCCTAGAATTGTTAGTCAAGGGATATTAACGTTATGTCATTCACATACCGGCTGGAGATTGAAGTTGGCCGCGTGGCCGTACTTGCCAGGACGGGGGAACAGGTCCAAGTAGAGGTAGCCCACGAACCCACTTCCCTCGCCCTCGTCATCCCAGACACTAAAGATCTGGACATCTTCATGCCAGACAATATCGCTCCCCTTGCCGGAGGGCACAACCTTTTCACGATCCTCACCGGTAATCTCAACGAAGACAAGGCCAAACAGCTCTTCGAAGATCTTCAGCATGCCCTCGATGGTCGTCTGCAGGGGAAAGTACTCGGCGATCAGTTGCTGATCCAGCGAATAATCCTTCTCAAGCATGAGGCGGTCGTAGAACCGGTGGTCCCACAGATAGTAGCGGCCATCGAAGGACTCGCCGCGAGACTCGAGATCCGCTTTCTTCAGCTCCAACAAAGCCTTGATCTCCTTGTGTCCCCCGGCAGTCAGACGCGACCGCAAGTCTCCCAGGAAGTCGTCAACCGTCTTTGGGGTCTTGGCCATCTTGTCCTCAATGCGGAACGCCGCGTGGTTGGGGTATCCAAGCAAACGAGCGGCCTCGTCACGTAGGATGATGGCCTCCCGGAACAGAGGCACGTTCTGGTTGCACTTGTTCTCGTTCTCGATCATCAGCCGCTTGCGAGTCTCCGCGTTCTTCGCATACTTCATGGTCGGGAACAAATCGGGATACTTGAAGGTCAGCCAGAGCTTGCCTTCATGCTCGCCCTCGCCCTTCTTCAAGCCGGATAGAACGTCTTCCGGCACGCCGTCGAGCTCCTCGCGTGTGAACCAGATTCCACCGTTTTCCTCGTTCAGGGTCTTCTGGAATTCAATGCTGATCTGGCTCAGACGCTTCTTGATCTCCTTGAAGCGATCACGCTTCGGTCCGGCCGGAAGACCCAGCCCGTTACGGATGTAATCCTTGTGTTCCTTCTCCAGCAATCTCCGGGACTCGGGATCGAGGCTCTCGTTCTTCTTTAGCACCGCATCGACGAGCTTGAATACGTCTTCACGCATCACAGTCTCAATGAAGAACTCGTCCATCAATTCCTCTGCCTTGGATGACGCATCCCGTAGCGCCTGCTCCGTCGACACGGCCTGGTAGAAGCTCAAAATGTGGGATTCCAGCGCCATGGTATTCTCATCTTGGGCCAGAGGCTTCAGCACCGAGTCGAAAGTCGCTGATTCGGGCTTGACGTTCGCAACGACATTGTCCTGCACTTTGCGGGATGTCTCAATGAGGCGCTTGGCGTCGTCGACGATGGACTGAGCAGTCGCGGTAAAGACGGGCGGTGCCTGCGGAGGCCGACGCAGATGTTCGGGAGCCATGCTGGCGGTGGTGAGAGACTTGCGAAGATCGGTCAATGCGGAATTGTAGACGGTGGCAGTGGTAGGTAATCGAGAGCCACGAAGCTGGCTCAAGACCGAAGAGAGTCTGAAAGTGGGGGAGGTGAGGCGGAGAGGGGGAGCCACGGTGACAAGAAGGACGCCCGCAAGGAGGACGAGGGCGTGCAGATATAAAGCGCGAGAGAAGAGTGGACTAATGGTGACGGTAGAGAGGGGCAAATCGCTAGGACAAGGCGGGGTAGACCTCTAGTTTGAGTGGCAGATTATTATAAATAATCGACTGGCGCAACGATAGACGATAATTAAAGCTTTGCTTCCGATGGAGTGCTCTCTCTCTCCGTGCTCCAGGCTGACAGTTCATTACTTGATTGGGTTTAGTATTCCTATTTAGGTGTAGTATCATCATGCTGTATACTCCATATACTCTCCTTTACTCCATAGGTAGACTCTACAATGACCTAGTAGGCTAGTACTACCTTACAATATCTTCTTCTACTCTTTCCCAGCTGCTTAATTATTAATCGGTAAGGTATTTCTACCATGCCAATCTACTTCATACTCTGCTTTCTGTTGTTGGGGGTAGAGCGCTGGGCTGTAAGTCTCCAGTCCCCACTCGGGCAACAGACCACTGTGGTTTGTCAAACCATGTGATCAAAGCAAGCTTAGGTAGCCACCATATATAAACCTCTTATAATAATAGTCCACTACTCTGTAGCTCTATCTCCCGTTTCTTGGGCGCAGGGTCTATCTGTTGCCTATGCCATGTGACGTGGTAGGGCGTAACCCCCCGCATCTTCGGTCACTTCTACAGATGCCTCGCCTAGCCCGTAACAAAAGTACTATCCAGTTACCAAGATAACTAGAGAGTTATTACTATATTTACATACCCTAGGTTAAAAAGATAACTTTATCATGAGACAGCAATCAACTGAGATTGTGGAAGCATGGACAGAACAGGCAGCCAATGAAAGGCATGACTTGGTATGTCTTGGCGAGGAATTAAGGTAACTTATGGCGCCTTAAGGGTCCTCAAAGTAAACCCTTGCACTCATTCCTTTCTTTTCTGACTACTTCAGTGAGGATGTGAGCTGGTCCGGGGTATTTATAACCCAGAGTCTGACATAAACTACTATGTTATCTTAGCCCTTTGTGGTTCAAGGTTAAGTTAGGTTGACAAATTATGTCACATTAGACAACTTAGCTTCCGCTTTCAGACCGTAGACGCTATCATTAAAGTCACATACCCTCTCAGTGCAGAGCCAAGGTATACAACAGAATGTCATGTCCCTTGTAATGTGATTAGAGGTTAAGTCTACAGATGATGCTTATTCGGTGTGTCCATCGTTGACTGGCTAAATACTATCTTAGGCGTGTGGTTCAAGGTAGGTTGACAAATTTACATTTGCTTAATCTGGATATATAGCAGTCATCATTTGTTACATCAGACAACCCAGCTTCTGCTTTCAGACAGTGGGACACTGTCATTAAAGTCACATACCAGTGCGGGGCCAAGGTATAGAACAGAATATCATATCCCGTGTAGATGTAATTGGATGCTCGAGGTTGTGCCCAGCTTTGACTGGCTAAACATGTTCAATCATCCAAGGCGCATATAACCCTCCTTCCCATCCGCCCCGTGAAGCAGAAATAAAGTCGTCTGTCAAGACCGCACGCACATGTTTACACATTATCTCTCATAGCCCCGCAGTCTGAGTCTGAGCAATATGGAGGACTACCGCGCGGCTTCGCTCTTTCAACCGTCCAACCTGGCCAAGGCCCTGGAGGACACTATGGACCCGTCGTCCGGGAGACCTACGCATTTAATGGGCACCTTTGTCTCTGTTCCTCACACCATCTCAGCTCGCACACTGGCAGTCCTAGGGTACGACTGTGTTTTGATCGACGCACAGCATACGTTAGTTCCCCTCTCGTACTGAATGAACCGGATATCTGTCCAGGGTCTAACTTTTATGGACCATATCGGCGGTGCAGACCGATTGAAGCCGAGAACCTCGTTCGCCTGATCCAAACCGTCAGCCTCTCTAGTCAGGGAAGGACCGTCCCGGTCTGTCGAGTGCCATCTGCGCAATCGGATCTCCTGACTTATGCCCTTGACGCGGGTAAGCCTGCTTTCGAACTATTAGTTTTGAACCTTAACCGCTCACGTAACTGGCGTTTGAACAGGAGCCGGCGGCATAATCTTCCCACACATTGATACACCCGAGCAAGCCGCCGAAGCCGTCAGCAAGTGTCGGTATGCCTACTCAGACGGTGACCGGTCCCTGGCTCCAGCAGTGCTAGTCCCTGGAGTTACAGATGTGGCGCCACCGGGGTCCTCCCACGAGCGTGTAGCGGACAAGAACATCGCAGTGATAATTCAGATCGAGAGTCCGGTAAGTTCAATTTTCAGATTTATAGGGCTTGTGATGAGCTGACGACGGGATGTCTCAGCTTGCCCTTGCCAATGCGGACGCCATAGCTGCAGTCCCTGGTGTCAACGCCCTAATGCTAGGAGCTGGCGATCTTCGGGTTGCCATGCGCTGTCCTCCGCGCCAGGTGGGCGACCCCGAAGACCCAAAGATATTGGATGCAATAGAGCGGTTGGTGAATGTGTCGAGACGGCATCAGAAGCCTTTGGCTGTGGTCACATTCAAGTTGTCTGAGAAAGCAAAAATTTGGCTCAAGGACTTTCAGCTGTTGGTGATATCATCGGATTACTCGAGCCTGGTGAAGGGGCATAAGGACGATTTAGCTCGTATGAGGCAGACACTGGCTGAGGTGCAGGGGTTAAAAAACTGATTGCTCAGGCTGTGTTTTCCCATAATTCAACTGGATATGTGAAAGAATTGGAAATACACGCTGATAGATCTCATAATGTACCGCCAATAGTCGCAGTAATTTGAGAAGAATAAATAACCATGATATACTCCATTTTAGGTGGTTTAGACTTAGACGGGCCTTTCCGCCATTTGGTGTGCATTAGCCTAAAATGTCAAAATGTCAAAATGTCAAAATGTCAAAATGGCAGACAAATAATTGTCTGACAGAACATTTGTCTAACAAGATGACAAAATCACTCATAAATGACTGGCACCTGTCTAAATGACTCAAACCTCTCTAAAAAGACCGACAAAATGTCGACAAAATGACGAGCAGAATGTCTGACAAAAAGTGGATAGACTCCTTAAACTTCCGGGCCACTTGCGGCTACCGGCTAACTTGCCGCTAGTGATCCACCCTCCAATCTCTCCAACTCTCCACTGCCGACTTGTCTCCGGCAAGCGTACGCAAGTGCCGGTGAGTCGGAAGCAGATCAATGGATAAGATGAAGTGTTGTAATATAGACTTTACTTATTATTAATATGCTCTTTAGACACGTTACATGTGGTTTGGTAAATCTAAGGTAGGATCCTGTGGGGTTGGGGCATCTGGGGATTCTCCATGTCGCTGGCCCCGCTCTTCGTCTTTTCGATCGTCTACGGCCTCTTCGCAGGCTCATACACCAGTACCTGGCCGGGGATCATGCGCGACGTCGTCCGCAAGAAGAGCTCCGCGGAGTCCAGCATGGTCTTCGCCTGCCTGGCTGCCGGCCGGGGCATCGGGAATCTTGTTTCGGGGCCGCTCAGCGAGGCACTAATCAAGAGCACGCCGTGGAAGGGCCAAGCAGGCTATGGCTATGGGAGTGGGTATGGCAGTCTGATCGTCTTCACGGGTATCACGGGGGTGATTGGAGGAGGGAGCTACGTGGCGCGCTGTTTCAGGTGGATATGATGTACATACTGTTACACTACACAACCAGACCACATCATCTCTGGTTTCTGGATAATGGGGGCCGGCAGCTTGCATACCCCGCTCAATGCCTAAACAAAGCAGATCTCGAGCAGAGTCAGACAAGTTCATATCTGTAGAGAAAAAGCATACACATACATTCATCTTCAATGCACATCTGGTTCTGAATATAAGATAGGCACAATATCCTTAAATTAGGACATCACCTCCAGTCTGTTTCTCTGTAGGTAACTGATTACTACCAGTGTACCGACTATCACAACTCTACCATGGAATCCAGTCCCCAGAGCATTTCTGTCAAACCATCTTACCTTGTAGCCACTTACTAAATCTGATTTACGGAGTAAACAGACTACAGTAATTTAGTACCGAGATAGTAACTTACTACCAATTGAGGCACGTGGATAGCATCCAGTCTACCGTGTAGATCCCCATATTCGTACAACTATAAAAAAGACAAGGATATGGAAGAGATTCAGACGCTATAGTGCGCTTCTGTAGCAGCTAAGTCTTAGTTAATGAGTATGCTGCTTAGCTCGGATGCAGCAGACTAACCAAGATGAGATAGTGCATCCCCTCATTTCAGTGTTTCACGGAGCTTCGTCACTCAGCCTTGACCCCAGGATTGCTCCTTGGTTTACCTTAAATCTCCTACCGACCCCAATTCCTTCTATGGTTTTTACCATGGAACCCTGATGCTAGCCATCGTGATGTTCATCAAAACAGAGGCTTTCATGGTAGGTTACTATATGGGTCTGCACTGCTCTGGCCCATATTCTACTCAGTTTTAATGGGAAAAAAGAAAAAAACGGATTGATATCATGTCTTTTAACATTCGTTTAAAACAGGTCTGTGTATCTCGCATTTTAAAAGACTTCAGTTCGACGGATCCATGAATGTGCCGAAGCATGTGACGAGCAACCCAACTCCAGCAACTCCAAACGTACCGGAAGGAAAAATTTCAGAACGCCCACAATGTGCTAGACTTTGAACATCACGATGTGAGATGAGAAAACAGGGGAGAATACGCTCGAAACTCAGCGGCGGTCATAAATACAGGAGGACAAAGAGATATAGTGTAAGGAAATGTTCATGCCGCGTCAGCGGTGGGAATGGGCTCGGGGATCTTGGTGACCTGCTGACCAGCGCGGATAATGCGCTGACCAGACTCGTCACGGACATATTCGCTGCTCTCTTTCTGAGCACGCTTCCAGATCTCAACTTCACAGCCGCCGCGAATAACGCCGACACGCATGGTAGACAGCAGGTTGTGGGCGGCATTCGAGTGGTAGTAGACGCCACCGTTGAACATGGCAGTAGCATCCTTGCCAATACCGGAGTTGATCATAGCCTTGCCACCAGGGTGGTCCTTGATAAAATCAGTCACATCGTGGACAACACCAGCAATAGCAATCAGTCCGCGGCCGTTCTTGGCCTGCTCAACATAGTCATCCCACTCCATGACGGGAAGCTGGTCAAGAGGGACACCCCAATCCAACTTGGCACGCTTCTGGTCGATCTTCTTCTGGAGCTGCTGAATACGACCTTTTTCAATTTCGTTGGCACGGAACTGCTTCAGATCATAGGCCAGACCAAGCTGCTTCCAGATCCAGATGCTCCACTTGGTAGGATCATACTGGTGCCACTCAATGGCATTGCGGTAGTCCGAGGGGAATTCGTGGTGGAAGTTGTGGTAACCCTCGCCAAGAGTGACCAGAGCAGTGATAACGTGATCCCTGGGGGAGTTGCGGTCGTCGAAGGGCTGGTCGCCGAGCCAGTGGGCCAGAGAGTTGACACAGAAAGTGGCTTGCTGAACGAAGAAGATACGCAGGATACCGGCATAGATGAAGCCGCCGAACCAGTCACCCCAGCCGAGACCGGCCACGAGCATGGGCACGACGAGCCCCATCACTAGGACCACCTTCAGGTAGTTGCGGTGTTGCCACACGACGACGGGGTCTTCGTTCAAGTCGGTGATGTCGGTACGGCCGATACGCTTGGGGTTCTGCTTCATAACCATCCAGCCGAGGTGCGAGTAAAGGAGACCCTTGCGGACAGAGTAGGGGTCCTTGTCGGTGTCGGTATAACGGTGGTGAGCGCGGTGGTCCCGAGCCCACCAGCGGATGGAGCCTTCGACTGCACCACCACCAACGGCTGCGAGCCAGATACGCAGAGGCAGACGAGCAGAGTAGGAGCAGTGAGCCCAAAGACGATGGTATCCTGCACATCAGGCATTAGTATTTCTAGGGATTCCCTTCCCCAGGATATGAGTCTGTGGCAACTAACCTGCTGTGATACCGAGACCGGTGAAGTAGTAGTAGATAACGGCCCAGATGGCGGTCTTGAGCTGCAGAGGCACCCAGAAAGATTGGATGCACCCGTACACGGGGATACCAATGATGAGGACGACGTTCAACCAGTTGACATGCTTGTACCAGTTCTGACGAGTGATGGCCGTGTCGGCAATATGGACCTTCTTGGGGTCACCAGCCCGCGGGCGAGAAGCGTCTCCAGGCTTCGCAGACATGTTGCCGACCTTTTTGCGCTTCTCTTCAAGTCCTCTAATTTCGGGGCGGAGGTGTATCTGCGAGGAAAGAACGTCCGCACTTAATGGTTGCCAAACCGGGGCAGGTTGATGGGGGAGGAGCAAGGCTCTTAAAAAGAAGACGCGGGAACGAAAGAATTAAAAAGGCAAAGAAGACTGAAGCAGGTGGGGAAGAAAGAAGCGTGAAGGCGAAAAAAAGTAGTGAGCAGACGGAAAAGACAGGGCAAGGAGAACTTGACCGTTCAACTACAGTCACCCCAGGGTCCACAAGCCGATGATGGTTGGGGCAACGAACGGATTGGATTCGGACAATGCAGGGCGGAGAGATGTTGCTATGATGAAAGAAGACGGGATGGGGACGGACGGAGAAGGATAACAGGTGGACTGACAATGATCAGATGCCTGTGATCATGAGGTTCCGAGGTCAAACGGAGGACAACCTCGTTATCAAACTACAGCTTCTGTCAATTTTGATGCCTCCAACTGTCAAATCCGCAACCGACCATACAAAACCTGGGTATAGAACGATGACCGCTATCAGGGCCATAAGCTACCTAAGGTAGGTTGTTGGGCGGGCGATCTGATGGCGAATCGACGGCTAGAATCTTCCGCTTTCGGACTAGGGGCCTTCAAATCCGCCAATCAGAGCAGATTCGCCTTCTGTTGAATCCCCAACACTTTTTACCGTACCGAGTGCCCTTGCAGGTACTCCGTACCTACATACATAAACATTATTCCTTACAAATGTGGCTGAAGATCCCTTTTTGGCCACTCGCAGTCTGTGGCGGCTCCTTATTCCAATTTTCCGTAGCCAACCTATCTAACGGCTCAATTCTCCGCGATACATCTGGATGATGAATGGTCAGGGCTTCAGGCTGCACTTTATCGAATCTTTCCAAGGCCAGAAAAGTACCAAGAGCAAAAATCATAGGCGTTTCACATCAACTTCTGGGAAGAAATTTAGAGTTGTTCGCTAACACATGGCCAAGACCTTTGTGCCTCAGGCAGTAAGCAGCTTTCATGTAAGTCACTTTCATGAGATCATACCTACGCAAAGATGATAAAAATTATATTATGCTTGCTATATTTATAGACTTGCTAGAATGATGGCTGCGCCAATGGTACTGCAGCGATCTGTCTGAGCTATGACTCAATGGATCTTTAATTGATGTATGTGACGGAGCGTACATTTGTCCACTCCTTAACTGCAAAGTGTCATTTGTCGACAGAGGTACCAACAGCCATACAAAGATGTAGTTGCGAAGTCTGATATTAGGAGAATGGGTGCGTTTGAGCTTTTTGGGGCAGATTTGCCTATCTCTATGGTCCCTGGACATGGACTTCTACAGTGCATCCGACTACATGAGAACTTCAGACACCAAGACGCAGGACTCATCACTCATATCGTCACTTCTACGTTTTCGTATCCTATAGAGCGAGTGCGGCCCTCGAATCAGCTGCAGTTTGCAGGGTACGTGGTAAGTCTGTGCGTAATGAGCGCTTATAGAATGTATCCAATGCTTAAACCTGAGACCCACCGATTTGCTCATTCACTTTCCCTATACCGCAAGGTTGGCGAAGATGATCGGATTCTGTCTGGCTAGCCATGTGAACTTCCAGATTCGAATGCTTCATGCAAAGAGGCATCGTATTGCTCCTTATCCTTGACTCTGTGTTTAATAACCTGAAAGGCATTGAATGTCCAGTAAGGCATAGTGATTCGCCAGAAAGCTGGATCCTCGTGAGCTTTAGAGAACCTCGGTTGAATATGATCGTAAAATATCTTGAACAATGCCGTGGGACTACTCAGGGCTAGACAGAACCAAAACGTCATCCTCTCCCATCCCTCCTGCAAGATGGGGTGGAGAGGGAATGGCAGCTTGTCCTTCATTTCCTCCTCTGAGAGAGCCTCCATGAACTCTTTCTGAAGAACTTGGTAGTCATCCATGCTGATCAATTCAATAGCCTGATTCGTCAACCAGTATGGAGGTTGAATCATTTCCACGTCGGACATCTCAGCGAAAAAAAGCAAGGCCAGATAACTATCATCCAGACTGTTGATTGCATTAGGCTGGTGACAAAGACAACTTCACAAAATGCAAGGATATCATTGACATAAGAGTCGACAGTGGTGTAAGTAATATTTTTGGGTATGTCAACTGGAATATGTACTTTACCTTCTCCAATTGTTGCATTTCTAGGGTAACGGGCCTGTTACTCAAAATCAGGAAACCATTCTCATCAAGAATAAAGGAACCAATATTTGGCAAAGGAGTAGGTGCCAAAGCTAGCATGATGCAGGAGATGCTATGGAAAAGGTTCTTGCGCAGCTTGAGATTATGGCAGCCTTCCTCCCATGTTTCAGGAACCATTTTGGCCCTCAATGGCGTGATATATTCTATCAAACGATAGGGTGTGTCCAGCGCGACCTTATCTTTGTTGGATGTTGAAGGTACTGGGATGGAGTGGGATAGCCTAGCCAATCTAACAGTCCGGGCTATAAAAAGGCAGGTTGTCGAGAAGTGTGAACTAGGGGCTGTAAGCAATCGTTCTTCTTCGAATATACGTAAGGTTGGTACACCGTTTGGCCAGTGGATAGCCCAGACCCATAAAGACGTGGAATAGGAACAGACGGACGGTCTTCTTAGGGCCATGTGTAGGTCCCTGCTTCACAACGAACCTTTCTCGTCCGCATTACCTGGTCAGCAGTTCTCGCCAATTCGGTAAGGCAAGGGAAATCGGATCATCAACTGTCTCTTAAGCGTCTTGTCCTTGACCACCCATGTATCCAGTCCTCCACATCAACAATATGGCAGATGTCTGCAGAAGCAAGGCCGAGATGGTGGGCCGCAAGTGTCGCTATCAGTTCACGATTCCGGTACAAGTGGACAGGATTGAATCCTTTGATCCAAATAGCCCAGCCGGTGGAGGATATGGGCATCTTCTTCCTTTGCAGCTTCGTATGTGATCTCGCCTCGAAGCAAGCGAAGAGCTTTTATTGTGGCAGGAGAATCATGACCCTGAGACATCCCTTCAAATCGGGCACTTTCAGTTCTCTATCTAGAGATATTCCATAACCAGGCACATATCTGTCTGTCAAGGTCAATCTCAATCTCACCATAACTTAGAGGGACAGCCTGACAGGAACTAAAGGAAGAACTCAGATATCGTTCGGCCTATAGCTATCAGAGCCTGTGCAAGTTCGGCGCCCCCCGCCTTGCTGATAAGACGGGTGGATTTTACACAAACAGCACCTGTCAGCCAGGGCGGTTCTTATCACCTCCACACGAGTTAAGCGTCGCAGTTCCACAAGGAACGACACTAACGATGGTTAGTGGTCAGTCCGCCAGTGCAATCCGCTAAAAGCGTAGCTGGAATCCTTCCACGCGACGAGAGAGATAACCAATCGCCAGAATTATTCGATAGATTCACGCATCCGGATTCTATCAGCTTTGATAGAGCCGTATCGCTGTTACGCTTGTAGCATCCTCATCAAATCTTGCCAGTTCGCAAAATGCGCATCTTATATAGGACGCACTGGTTCCATTCAATGCGCGGACCCAGAATCCCCAGGCTCGTTCCTGATCAGCTCCATTTTGTTCGGCCAAGATTGAGTCATTGACCGATTTCGGGGTTTTTCTTCCCCGCACATTCTGTGCCACAGCCATTATCTTGCACACCACATTTCACAGTCATTGCGAATAACACTAGACTTGAAATCTCGTCCATAGGAAGGGCCATCGGCACACACCTTTCGTTACCTCATCATCCACCATGGACGGTCCCGATCGAATCGGTCCTGATCACAGTCCAAGGCGGACTTTCCGCGATAAAGCTCAACGGCTTGTGAAGACATGGACCACCAAGTAAGTCGGCTAGGAGCCCTCGTGCCTATCTCTCATCATCTTTGTATGCTAATCCATGCATGATTAACAACAGAGAAGGATTGGTTGGAGACTACAACTACGCCTACCTCTTCACACCAAGGATCCCCTTTACCAAGAACATCAGAAGGACGGCCCCTTTCTTTGGACTGCACGACAGGTTACCTGTGCTACTTGCCTTCATTCTGGGTCTCCAACATGCTCTGGCGATGTTGGCTGGAGGTAAGCTCAGAGACGTTATCCATCCGACTGCCACTGATTAATCGTTACAAGTCATATCTCCTCCCATCATCTTGGGCGGTTCTAGTGGCGCCAACTTCGGAGATGCCGAATACCAGTACCTCGTTTCCGCGTCATTGATTGTCTCCGGCCTGCTATCCGCTATTCAGATGGCCCGCTTACGCATCTGGAAGACTCGATACTTCATTGGTACTGGCTTGATATCGGTCGTCGGCACCTCCTTCTCCGCAATCACCGTCGCATCGGGAACATTCTCTCAGATGTATGCGTCTGGATACTGCCCAATGGATGCCAACGGCAAGAAGCTGCCGTGCCCTAGAGGTTATGGAGCTATTCTGGGCACCGCTTGCTTGTGCTCTCTACTTACGATCGGCCTGTCCTTCATGAGCCCAAGGATCTTAAAACGCATTTTCCCGCCTATGGTGACTGGTCCTACGGTCCTGTTGATTGGGGCAAGCCTCATCGAAAGTGGCATGAAGGACTGGGCTGGTGGCTCTGGCTGTGGATCGGACCCATCCGCTCGTGCTCTGTGTCCCAGTGCTGGTGCGCCACATGCTCTCCCCTGGGGAAGTGCTGAGTTTATCGGCCTTGGATTCCTGGTTTTCGTGACGATCATCCTTTGCGAGCGGTTCGGCTCCCCTATTATGAAATCGTGCGCCGTCGTGGTCGGTCTTCTGGTCGGATGTATCGTGGCAGCTGCCTGCGGCTACTTCGACAGATCGGGCATCGACTCTGCGCCGGTTGTCTCATTCATCTGGGTGAAAACGTTCCCATTAACTATATACGCGCCTCTGATCCTTCCGTTCCTGGCACTCTACATCGTTATCATGATGGAGTCGATCGGTGATATCACAGCCACCTGCGATGTCTCCCAGCTCGAAGTCGAAGGTGCCGAATTCGATTCGCGCATCCAGGGTGGTGTCCTGGGCAATGGATTGACCTGCCTGCTGGCTGGACTCTCCACCATCACGCCCATGTCGGTCTTTGCTCAGAACAACGGTGTCATTGCTCTGACAAAATGCGCCAACCGCAAGGCCGGCTACTGCTGCTGCTTTTTCCTCGTTGTCATGGGCGTCTTCGCCAAGTTCGCTGCCGCCATCGTTGCCATCCCCAAGCCTGTCCTCGGCGGCATGACCACGTTTCTGTTCTCATCCGTTGCCATCTCCGGCATCCGCATCATCTCCACGATCCCATTCACCCGGCGCAACCGGTTTATCTTGACGGCCTCTTTCGCGGTCGGTATGGCCGCTACGCTGGTGCCCGACTGGTTCTCGTTCTTCTTCACCTATAGTGGCGATAACCATGCCCTGGAGGGTCTGCTGAACGCTGTGGAGCTCGTTATGGAAAATGGATTTGCAATTACCGCTGTTATCGGATTGATCCTCAACCTCCTCCTTCCGGAAGATCCCGACGACGAGGCGGCCATCGTGGAGGCTACCGCAAGCGATGCGCCGTCGGAGGAGCTGAAAGGTTCAGATCCTCCTTCGTTCAAGGCAGGGCACCCATCTGGCTCTCTGGCTGTATGATTAATTATGTTACGCTGCATGGCTGAGGAGGCATTGCCCGTGCGTCACGTTGTTTTGATGTTCTTTCTGGATACCCTTCTTTGGCACTGTTTCCAAGGATATATAATTCAAATCATGATCTTCAACATTACTCTACTACTATGATTTCGTTCCTAAATTCGTAGCATAACAATGCTTTGCCGTGCCAGGTACGTGGAGGCCAATTTTCAAGCTTAGGCCACTTGAATGCTGGACTATACCCCTTCCACAATCTCGCCCAGTTTCAGCAACTTGATATAGCAATGCTCGCCCGTCTCCAACACGGAGACAGTATCGCCTACGCGAATGACGAACTCTATCAACGGTTAGTAAATCGATCATTCATCACCGGAACGTCACTAACCCTGTACAGCAGGAACACACTGCATCCCCAAACACGCATTCGTCGGATCCCCAGGGTCAATCCGCCTATAACTTTTCAGCGTTCTGTCCGGCTCAGACGCATGCCGGATGCCCGTGGCGGGGTCAACATTCGGCAGCCGACAGCGCATCGTCCGACAGGCGACATGTACCTCGACCCCGGCGTCAGCGTCACTCTTCACTCCCGTTGGCCGAATCAGGATGCGCTTCCAATGATCCTCCGCAAACGCCTCAGGCCCTTGGATGATGATGTTCGCCCTAAACCGCCGCACCGAGAGCCGGGGGATACCCCGTGCACATCGCGCCGCAACGTCATGGACACTCGCGATATTGAGGATATGCAGGGGATACGCATCCGCGAACCCTGTCACAGGCTGGAATCCCAGCTCCTCTTTGCGGGGCGCGTTGCGGAAGACCTGCCGGTGGTGCGTGGGGTCAACACGAAAGAGGGTGAGAGGACGAGAGACACCGGCGTGGGCGTCTGGGGGAGCTAGAAACTCCCGCAGGGATTGCGGAAGATGCCGGCCGTAGTCGTAGGCCACCGGGGTATCTTTCCAGATCTTCACAGGCACGGAAGGGTACGCGCTGGCGCGGTCTGGTGGCGGCACGAGCGGAACACTGAACGACAGCTCCCGGGGCACCAGACGCAGGGCTATCCCCAACTTGACCAGGCATGACAAAAGACCTCGACCAGCTGGTCGTGGGTAGTACATGATCATCACACCCTGAGACCGGACTTCGTCCAGATCGGGAGCGTAGTCGGGGGCAGCGGGATCAGGGACCCAGATCTCAGGCCGGATAAGCGTCAGCCGGCTGTAATGGCCATTACGGAGAGTCCGCGCATCCCAGTACGGCTGTGCCTTCCCATTGTTGGCGCTCGCGTGGTCAGGCGAGAAGTGTTCCGCGAAGCAGAAGTGTCGGTCGAACGCGAATCCGGTCGATACGACATCGGCGACGGCTAATTCCACCGCAGCGCAGCTTTTAATGGGATGAGTGAAGAGAGCTTTGATACGCCATGAAGGCTTGCCTTTGTCATCTACATCGCTTGAGGTTCCCTGGCCATACTTGGGGTCGAATTCGTCGTGGAGATTTGTGTGGCCTGGTGGAAGACCTAGCCGGCGGCATCCTCTCGGCTGCGCTGGATGGGCGGACCCGTATTGGCGGACAATGAAGATAAGTATAGGTAAAATTGAAACCAGCGAAATGCCTGTAGTCGACAGTAAAGCCTTCACAGCATCTTGTTGGAAGTTGGTGAAGCTGAATGGAGGTTCACTCAGCATTGAAGAGATGTGCTTTACAGAAGACCTGAGGAGTCACCAGCAAATTGCAAACTCAGCAAGTTGTAAAATACTCAGACCTTTCCTAATAGTGAATTTGTTTTGTATATTGAATCTAAGAGTATAAGCGTTCGAGGGGACGAAATAATTGTGGAGATGAGCCAATCCATCAGGGCGGAATCGGAATCCCTTAGCATCCACAATCAAAAAGTCTCCGCGCTGGAGTTGACGTATCTGTTGATAGTCTGGTGATCAACCATCCATTTCGGTGGACAGCAGCCGAATATATGGTTCAGCAAAGGTCGGACAACGTCAAGCTGGCAGACTAGAAAAATGCAAGATCTGGAGTGCAGTAATGTCCTAGATCGTCAATTTTCCCTCTTTCCTGACTCTGCCATCTTGCGTGTGATCACCGCCTGTTAAGTGCCACTATGAGCACACAGGATATCTTCGGTCTGTCCAGTCAAGATCCTGGTAGGTTATTAGATATGTAATTTTTGCGTTGTATATTGCTGATTTCTGTCATAGGTCGCGTCATTTCATTCCCTGCATCGCAGTATCTGCACGCGTCTACCGCGTCGCCAGTCCCTGGTGCGATTTCAACGGGACTCCCTCGGCTTGACCAGGCAATCAACCTGGTTTCTTCAGATGAGCCTTCACAGTCGTTAAGTGATGCGACGCTGGGGGGGATTCCTTGTGGTCATGTCACTGAGGTGTTCGGGCCACCTGGTGTAGGCAAAACGGCGCTGGCGTGAGTTTCACCACAGACGAACGGCCCTATGGTGAACCAACGAAGCCTAATTTTGACTGTGTATCTTAGAATGAGCATAACCGCAAACGCTCTATGTGACGGTGGTAAAGTGGTGTGGATTGGTACGACATCTTTGACCGTTGGAGATTATCGCTGACCGTTTAGATACTACCTCGCCACTGCCAAATCTCCGTTTAAAGAGCATGCTCACGCAGAGTCTCGACACAGCCAAATCGTCCGATACGCCACAACAACTCATGGACAGTCTAATCTACTTCCGCGCTCAGTCCCTGCCACATCTGCTAGCGCTTCTGCTCCACCCACCACAAGGATTCCCGCCCGAAAACACCAAGCTTCTGGTGGTCGACTCTGTGTCAGGGCCGTTCCCTTCGTACTTTCTGAGTCCGTCCGAGTTGAAATCCCGCCTGACGCAGGCGAAGATCACGGACAAGTCGCAGATCCATTGGCTCATGAACCGAAAATGGAACGTCACAGGCGAACTGGCAAATCAGCTGATGAAGCTGGCGGCTTCAAGACGACTGGCAGTGCTTCTCATCAACCAAACCCACACAAAGATCAAAGGGCTGCCACGTGCTACCCTTAGTCCGCTGCTTGCGGGTGGCGCGTGGGAGAATAGCGTGTACACCCGCATCGTCCTGTATCGCGATCTCCCGGCCCTTGAAGATGAAGAGTCAGAGATGGCTTCAAGGAGCGTTCGCTACGCAGAAGTCTTGAAGAGGGATGGCAAGGCATTGACAGTGAGATCAGATGAGAATATCGTACCGTTCACGATCGACTCGGTAATAATCACCCTATAGACAATGGGATTGCGTCAACATCCGACTGACATGACGGAAACAGGGCTCTCTACGTGGGACGGACACGACTCAGCCGTCCCGCGCTGTTCCACAGCAGCCGGTTGAGGAGACTTTCCGTGCGGGTGCGCGGAAGCGGAAAGTGGACGAGATTGCGGACAGTCAGGATGAGGATGATTCCGACGATGACTTTGGATGGGTTGATGGCGACAATGCTGGCTTGGTCGAAGGGCCTGCCGACGACTGATGAACTCACAGTACTCTTCCTGAAGGTCCAGGCAGGACCTCGCTGCTTGTTGCGCTTGGTCATTTCCGTGAATCGAGCTCAAGTTTTCTGAAGACATACAAGCGATCGTTGGAAGAACATACAACGGCCTCATCATTATAAGCTATAATATGCTACAACTATCTCAAAAAGAGTCATTAACGTATCGACATGACACCTCAATCGTTACGGAGGGTATTAGGACCAATGGCTCAAGCCATCCTTCGGTTACCATCTTCATGGGACCGCTGCTCAACCCATGTTGAAAATTCAGTCATTGCCAGGATCTTGCCATCTGGGATTTGCCCCTTGAGACTCCCAGTGCTTGCCCTCTTCATCTCGGCCTCGACGTTGTTGATCGCCGAAATCTCACATACGTTGACATCCCCGTTCACACCTGGCTGAACAGCCCCATTGTTCGGGCCGGCATTGAATTCCAGCGAACAGAGGTGGACGGCATCTCTGCCCATCATGGGACGTCTATGTCCGTGTATCACATCAACGAGCCTGCCAAGGACGGCAAACTCCAACTTCAGCTTTAAGCTATATATCGCGCCTTTCAGTGTAATCTGGACAGCGTAGTAGCTGGCGTACTCGAGGCCCAACAGGGCCAAATCCATCAAGACAATCAATATATTGATGCCCACGAGCTGGTGCATGATCCTCTGCTTATCTTTGTCCGATCCCAGCCGGAGCAGCTTGACCGTCTCCCATACATAGAGACCCGAGATGATCACCTCCTGTATCGTGAAGCCGGTCATCTGCAGCTTCTCCATGATATTGTATCCGTGCACGAATACAGGCGATCGATGGACAACATTGGATCCGTACGTCAGGACCGTGGTAGGGATATGCAGGAAGAAGATGTTGGCGATTATCATCACCAGCACCCGTCGCAGGATACGCTCATCGCGAAGAACAAGGTGCAGGCGCGAGTAGAGCACAAATGACTGCCCGGTCACCATTGTCCACCAGCCCACGCTGAGCATCGTGACCGACAAGGTGGAATTTGCCGAGGTAAAGAACTTGAGCATGAATCCTAGCGAGTATGGGACAACCCCGAGACATCCGGAGAGAAGCAAGCTCCAGAAATAGAGGCCTCTCCAACGCCGGAACGTCGATAGCACGAGCACGACGAGCTCAACGACGTTGTAGAAGGAGATGGCGCTAAAGATGAAGAGAGTCGCCTTGAGGCTGTCCCTGTGGTTCGCAAGCTCACCCGAGATACCGTCCAATGGATCTTGAATGGTCGACATCTCACGCTTTATGTTGATTTAGCATGGATCGTCTTGCTGAGCGTGTGGGTTAGGACATGAACCTAGGGCAGGTCGCAGTACACGAAGGTCGCAGTACAAGAATCACAACTCACAGAAAATCAAACACAAAACTCAATCATTCGAGATTGTAGCAGCAGTAGTGTCCTCTCCTGCTCTGCAGCCAGTCTCCTGTATCTTTTCAGTGGGCTTTCCTCGCTCAGAAATCACCGACGCATCAAGTCCAAGCGTAGATGCCTGGTTCTATCCAAACAAACCCAGCGACCAAATATTCATGACAGAAATTGACCCTCAAGTAGCGAACAGACAACATGTAAATGTACCTCACTTAGACCAAGAAACAGCCGAAAAATTGAACAGCCACCCGGGGCATACCACGCACAGCGCTCCTCAACTGCTGGGGTAGTACAAGTTGTTCACTCTCCCGTCGGAGATAATTCCTCCCCTTATTGCTGTGTACCCTCGACTGCTGCTTTCGACTTTCCCCCAGAGCAAACAATGATCGAATGCAACTGCATGCGTGTGATTGATGCGGGAAAGGGTCCTGGGCCTTCCCTGCTTTTCGGCATTTCTTCGTGATTTTTGCGTCTAGGCCCAGATAGTTAGGGGGCCAAAAGTTTGCCTACGGAGGATGGCCAATCCCTCTGCGGGTAGCATTGCGATGGCGTCCTTCGCCGAAACCCAACATCGGTGAGCTGAGAGATAAAAATGTTCCGAATCGGAACTTCCGATCCTTCATTAAGCTTGATTTGGTGGTCATTGTGGGGGAAGGGAACGTGACCCAGCTACGACAGGTACATTGATGGGGAGGTACCCAGGTGAGGCATTTCGTGATTTGGGCTGTGTTGTAGGACAGAATATGCATTGTCCCGTTTGTCGCCGCGTCGAGTCCCCGTGACAGGTTACGTGAGCTTGTGAGAAGAGCTGTTGGTGCTGGCATGATCCTTCTCTGAATTTGCCTTATAGTTGTAGAACGGGCCGTCAAGTGCATCATGCATTTGGAGAACCATTTGGCAGTTACTGTATGTGCAAATGAGGCAACAATAGTACGCGCGCATTGATAGATATCTGATCCTACGTCTGAGAGGGTGAACGCATGCTTGCGATACTATCCCGAGGATTAAAATCTACACTATACAGGAATGCCTCATTTGCGCCAGCTGCACTTCATTCTCGTGGTTTATCTATGAGACAGCGCAAGTCATAGCGTACCTCAGTCATGCCTTGATTTCCACGCACAGTTCAATTGAGTGCCCTATCAGTGGTCGCAAACATCCCTTGAGTGTCCACCTAAGTCCAAGGGGCAATGCTCGTATGGATTTGGTCATTAGGTCGCAGGGACCTTGTAGAATTCAAGAATCGTCTATTATGCTACAAGGCTTGCCAGAGTTGGAAAACCGTGCCAACAAAAATCGATCATAGATTGGTGAGATAATCTTCAATCTCCTCTTTGGTCAACTTCCTGAACCGGGGGCCTTTGGCTCCTTCAACGCCTTCATATCCCAGAAGATGATCCGCAGGAGGGCCAACAATACCTGCGTAAGTCAGCTCTGTGTTTTGTATTGCGATTCCTTGATCTAGATAAGTAGAACCTACCGATTTCTATTGTGTCTCCGTTCATCTCGCCCTCGATAGTCTCTTTCAGAGTAAGGAGGGCGATGTGGATGGCGTCTTCAAGCTCCAGCCCCTCTGTGTAGCGCTTCTCCAGGAACGTCTTGGCGCTGGTTGCATGCTTTCCAATGGCCGTGGCCTTCCAGGGATAGTAACTGCCGCTGGGGTCGACCTGGTACAAGCTGGGACCGCCCTTCAGGATACCACCAGTTTTACCAGTAGCTACTGTAGCCTTCTTGAGGTCACCCTCCTCGTCACCGCGCTGAGCTTCGCCTGTTTCCGGCTCAATACCCTCATCCCAGCCAGCGATCAGCAAGCTGACACCATATGGTCGGACACCACCAGATTGTGTTGCTTCCTGCACAACACGTGCAACGTCTTGCACTAGTATCCGAGTTGGAGGGTACTCGTTATAGATGCGCTTGTAGCCAGTGTGTGAGACCTTGCGAGCCTTGTCAACTAGCACACGGTAGTCCGGACCCATTCCAGCATAGACCATACCGATATCCGGTGTGATGAGGGAGATCTTGGAGAGAGACGGAGGGTCAATGAGAGGGGAGGACGACTTCTTTTCGGTAGCGAGAACAATTCCATTTGTCGCTAAGAAAAAGAAGGATGGTTAGAAGCTATTCTGGGTGGCTAGCGCAATCAGTCTATTTGAATGAAGCTTACCTTTGATTCCGAGGGCAGTTACGCCTTGGTTGACAGCGTTCAGGGCATATTCTAGATTCAATCAGCATTGAGAATCCCATATAATAAGACCAAGCGCAGTACCAATTTGTACCAGTTTCCCACTGCAAGTTATTGTTAGCATCCGATGATCGAAAGTGTCACCTGCAACAAGCTCCTCTTACCTGGGGGAGAAGGTGGTCAAAGAGAACGAGTAGCGATCAGCCATGGAGACGTCTTTCCAATTTTAGAAGCTCTGAAGAAGGTGGTAAAGTTCTCAAAAAGATGGACAAGGTAATATGAAGATAGAATGAAACTGTTGAAGTTCAAGTGAAGCTTTCCTCCTCCGAGCAACAGGCGACAAGGTGTTGACGCAGCAGCAGCTTAGGTCCATCCGCCCAGTGCCAAGCCGTGTCTGGGGCGGTGACGATGCAAATGCCAGAACTGGCTTACGCGAGCAGCTAGTGCTGACTTTGCTTGCCTAAGGCTCCTCCTCTGTCGAAGCTCCACATTCGCTTCTTTTATGCTGGTTGAGGGCTTTTTTCTTACCATTTCTCTTCCTTTCTCTCTCCCACAAATAATACACACCAACACCCTTTGTATTTATACCACCTGGGCTCTCTCCGGATGCTCTCTCGCACCAGATCTCTGGTAGATTTGGTTAATATGTTGTGACTTGAGCTCCTGAGCATTCCATTGCAGTATGAACGTGCATAATGAGCCACTCTGGCAGTGGCCTTCCAGCGTCCCTTCTAATACTTCACTGAACTCGGAGTCAAGCCAGACACCTCAGAACACTTACCAGTCCAGTGACGAAAACACGACTTCTGAATGCCCCGAGCCTCCCAAGAAACACTATCCCAATCGTACTTGTCGCATCTGCTTGGAATCAGTCCCTCCTACCTTCCACCCCCCTTCGGAAAACCTGCCAGGTTTCCTCCAGCCCAAGCCGCGAGTTGTCTATGAGTCTTCTGACCCAGAGCTTGGCCGACTTCTTCGCCCCTGCAAATGCAAAGGTTCTTCGCGTTACGTTCACGAGGGATGCCTTCAGTCCTGGCGCCATGCAGATCCTGATTATGGAAAGAGAAACTATTGGCAGTGCCCAACCTGCGGGTTTCAGTACAGGCTAGAACGTCTGAAGTGGGCGCACTGGATCAGTAGTGCATCTACCCAGATTGTATTAACTTTGAGCATTTTATTGTTTGCAGTATTTTTGCTTGGTTTTATTGCTGACCCCATCATCAATCTTTATGTGGACCCGGTGGAAACGATAGTCTACAAGGAATACTGGGAGCCCAGTACTGTGTCGGGCGCCTTGCCGAACGAATCAAGACCGTCTTGGATAGAGCATTTCGTGAAAGGATTGGCCTCACTAGGTCTTTTGTCATTCATCAAGGCCATACTTGCATTGAGCCCATGGCAGTGGTGGAATCTGCGCAGTTCAGGCGTCGTCAGCAGTGGGAGGACCACCGGCAGGAGTCGAGCGGCTTCCATCAGTTGGATAGTTATCCTCATTGGTGTTGGTACCTTCCTATGGGTAGGTCAACGCGGCGAAAGCATCGCACTTCATCAATCACTAATCGCACTATACAGGCTGTCTGGAAAGGTGTCAGGACTTGGAGTCGCAAGACACTGGAGAAAGCCGGCGAACGCGTCATGGATGTTCCATTGCCTGACGACGATGACGAAGACGAGCCATTTGCTTCCGCTGAAGGACGTCAGTCATCGAAAAAGGATGACTGAATGCGCTTGATCCTAGCATTCATCCGAGAAATCCAACGCCTTCTGTAATCCTCCACGCACTACTTTGAGTTGTCACGCTCCTGTCAATGAGGTGCCAATCAGTCAATGTGCGGAGAACGATACCGATCCTCGTTAACTTCTGGGTCTCGTTTGTGAAGCAGAGCATCTGGAACAGGACGTTTTGTCCTCTCCTTCTTTGCTCTGTTTCGTGAAAACAGACGGTCCCAGAGGGAGGATCGAACTGCATTCTGACTCGATCGGTTTGGGCCGCTCCAGCAGTGAGCGTTTCTAGATTGAGGTGCGGTACATCAAACCGTCATATAGTGTAGTTGTCAATCTATTCTCTTTTCGTGATATTGATCCAGTTCTTGAATACGTAATATTTGCTGATATCGATTCGCATCCCTTGCAGTCCACGGAGGCTTGTCGTCGCTGCCATAATTGTCAGTAGCCTTGACTGCCATACATCGTACTCAAGTCTCGAATCCCTCAATGCTGCGACTGCTGCCCGGGGCGCGTAATCTGAATGGTACTCGGAACAATCTTGGTATTTGACAATGTTCTTGCGCCGTCTATGCATGCTTGCACGGTACACGCGTTACTCTCGCCCATTGATGCAACTTCTCCATGAACTGTCGGCTAGTGTGATGGACATCCACTACATGGTCAGAGATATAAGACCAATTGCCGCTTGCTTACAGCGAACTCAGTGGGAAAACATGGCCGTGGAATATGAGGAAATTGTGCCCTTGCGTGGCATTGCTTTCCCTCAATCTCTACATGTCCCAGCTACCGAAACAACTGTCCATAATCACTTACTTCGTATACAGATGGTCAAGGTTCCTCTACGACCATCTGAAAAGATGGCTGGATCTTGCCTGAAGAGCGAGATTCGGTGGCCTGAGGTTGTTTTAAGGCTCAATTGCACTGGAGCTACTGGTCGAAGTCGGTTTAACAAGATGCGAAGCAAGATCAATTCGTCATATACTGCTAATATGTTCCTTTTCAGGAATTCCTTCCGTGAAAGACTTTTTGGTGGAAATATACAGTGAGACGTCTCTATACATCGGTAACTCCCATCACTGAGATGGAGTTCTCCTGTTCTAGACCAGTTTGCAGTGAATTGTCTGAGGTGACCTCTAGGATCAACAAACTCGCGAGTATTCACTGCGATATGATCTCGCTTATCCAAAAGCACTACCCCAAGCTTGTCTTTCAGAAAATATTCCTTGCAGTGTCCCTTTAAACCTTTCCCATTTAGATTATCACTCTATTTCTTTGACATCTACATCTACGCACTCTGCACACTCTCCATCCTAAAACTGCAAACTGATACTGTGAGCCCACCATGGAGGACCAACGCCGAGATGAACGCATCGCACGCCGAGATGAACACATCCCTGACAGTCAGGGTCATCAGAACAACACTCATCCTCTCCCTTCTGAGAATCCTCAATCTCATGAACTAGACAGCTACACTGAGGCCTGTCGTGACCTTGAGCAGCAGCTGAAAGCCCACATAAACCTCATCAAGAGACACCTGGGTGCTGTGGGCACGTCTCAAACCTCAGACGCGTCTTCTCAGACTGTCCAAGCTGGTCCTTCTGACGCCATGCAGGGCCAGCCGAGTGCCTCTGAGACTTCTGCCCCCATTACACCTACTAAAACGCTCTCGGCTCCCGCCTTGACCAACGACCACTCTCGCATTCACACTCCGAGCAGTGGCGACAGTGAGGGTGCGGTTGTGAATCAAGGTCTCGTTAGTCCCGCTGTCTCAGCTGCCAGTGCTGCAACGACCTGTGAGGCATTCCCCGACTACTACGAGTCCTGCGAGAGAAATCCGCCCATCGTTGACAAAGCGCACGAAGCAGCTTACAACTACGCTATCTCCAAGGTTGTCGAGGAAGCAACTCGTTTCAAAAAGATTGACGCCAACGTCACCAATCCTCCTGTGCTCAGCGCGGCTACTGATCCTGTTGTGAAGGTCATATCTGCCACCCCCAGCGCAAAGAAAGCTCTCGGGAACTCTCACACTTCCAAGAGCTCCTCCACCGTACCCATGCCCCCAATTCGACCTCCACTCACTGAGGCCGAGATCGCGGAGAGAAAAACGAAGCTGCTTGCAGAGATGAAGGCGTTCATTCCTAGCGGCAACATCCCAGCCGATCTCATGCGTCGTTTCGTCGCGATGACCAACGCGGTTCTCCAGATGGAGGTGATTCTCTTTCGTCGTGAGAGCCCTGCCTCCCAGCCCGATAACTTGTTGTCCGCCCAGGAAACAGAGAAGATCCGCGTCATGACAAGCGAAATGATTCAGTATCTCACTCATATGAACAACAGCCTGAAGAAGCAGGTAGACAAAACTAATGAAGTGGCGTTCGTCATGGCCCAGATCGCGGGAAGTCCTCAAGCCTCGGTGTACGAGCGCTATACACGCATGGCTGAGGTGTTTAACAAGTAAGTTGCCTCCAATCTACGACGCCATCTCTCGTCTCCGATCGAACTGACCTCCCGTTTCAATCATAGAAACGTCAAGAAACCCAGCGACCACGAGCTACGCCTTCTCACCGTCTTCCTCGACCTGTATGACACCGTCATCTACACCCGCTTTCTCACGATGCGCTTCAACGGGAAGCTTATCCTCGAGGAGATCCTCAACAAACAACGCGCGGAACTGTCCCAGCTGCTGGGTTCTCTCTGGGACATCCATAACCACGTTATCGAGAACTACCAGAAGATCATCAACTGTATGGTCCACATGAAGCGCAACATTGTTGCTCCGGTGTACGAAGAGATCACTCAGTCCAAAGAGCTCTGGATCGAGCGTTGGGACGCAAACCAGCGCGCACTGGAGCGAGAGCTGGCGCAGCAGGAGCAGGACCGGCAGGAGCTCGCTGCGAGGGAGCGTCGCCAGACTTAGGTTGCTGGATGCACGCCAGCAGGAGGAGAATCATGGGGGGAAATGCACGGAGATGTGGACATATGGATAAGGAAAAAGGAGAAAAATGATTAACGAATTAACGACCGGACGATGGAATGTATCATGAGCTCATGATTCTCATTTTGCGGAATCTAGGTACATCATAAAAGCACAAAAGCAGAGATAGGCAGCCAGTTTATCCAAATCAAGCAGAGCTATCATGATACGAACCCAGCTTAAACAATTTCTTCGCATTTTCCCTCCCAATCTTCAACCGATCCGTCAGATTCAACTCCGCATTGTCAAGCCAATCACATCCATCTTCAAAAGTCTCGAAGGGGTAATCGATGGAGAACAGAATCCGATCCGCGCCAACCTCCGCCATGCAGAAATTCAACGTCGTCGTGGAGAAATGCCCCGACGTCGTGATCCACAGATTCTGCGCAAAGTACTCCCGGATCGTCTTCTTGCACGTCTCCGCCAGACCGAGCTGCTTCTTCCGATCCTCGAACCAGTGGTTGATCCGCCACATGTCGAAGGGGATGTGCTCGCCCAGATGGCCCAGGATGATCTGGAGCTTGGGGTGCCGGTCGAACACGCCATTGGTCACCATGCCCAAGACGTGCAGGCTGACGCCGTGCGCGAAGCTCAGCGGCGGGCCCACGAGCCACTTGCGGTCGGCCCAGAGCTTGTCGTAGATTGTGCCGGTGGGGTTGCGCGGGTGCAGGTAGAGGGGGACGTCGAGGTCGGTGCAGGCCTGCCAGAAGATGTCCCATTCGGGCTGGTCGTAGAAGATCATGTCGTCGCCGTCGGGCCCGGCGCCTTCCCAAATGGTCCATTGTTGCACTTTCCATTTTGGCTCTGGCCGAAAACACCCTGTGGCCCACCACATATAGAGTCTGTCGCCCTGAGTTCTTGTTCTCTTCTTCTGGTTCTTCTGCCACCATGGCAACAAGATGTCTTCCGAGTCTGCTGAGTCTTCCACCGATGCCCTGGCACTGGTATCATCCATCTGCTGGACTCTTCTCCACCGCCCAACTGCTTGGATAAATCCGGCATTCCAGGTACTTGTGTCTACTACAGAAGTACTTACTGACCTCCTTGTTTCCGCTCACCTCACCTTTTGTCACGGTTTGAAAGAAGTGCTCTCAGCCCCAACTCCTCCACCCATCAGATGGTTTCAACAGCTTGATCCTCATATCCCGAAGGACTCATGGGGGATTTATCTCATGGTTCTGGAGAAAGACGGCCACGAGCCCGGTATCTACATCGGAAGCTCAGTTGCCGTCCGCCAGGGCATTCGGGCCCGAATTCTTGAACATAAGCGGGGGCATAAAGTCCCATTTCGTGTGAAACAGCTTAAGGATGAGGGTTATAGAATTGTCCACATTGCCATACTCACTTACATGCAAATACCGACACCGCCTAAACAGGCAAGGTTCCAGGGGCTCATGGCCATCCTTGAAGCTTGTTTCCATTATGTCTTTTGGTCTATGTGGTCAAAAGATGTAATGTACTCATTCCCGACATTTGATGAGTCCCGTTGGTTGCCGGCATCCTTCCAATACAGGGGGTTATGTTCCCATAATCCCTGGTAGAAGGCATTGAAGGCGATCCTAAGTTTACTGCGGATGAACTCATGGAAATCGACAGAGCAAAAAAAGAGAAAAGTATGGAGAGGTTGCGTGCTTGCCTGGCACTTCGAGCAAATCTGGCGTTGAAAAAGGTACACAATGAGCGACAGAGGCCCAAAACCAAAGCAAGATTTCAAAATGCCATCGCGTCAAAAAAGTATCACTGCTCGACATGCAATATATCGTGTCAGAGCGCTGCCCACCTCCGACGCCATAATGCCGGAAGCCGCCACAAGAAGATGTTAGAAAGTCGAGAGGACTACCACTATTGTGCACCTTGCAATGTTTATGTTCGTCGTCTTCGTGACTTTGATCGGCACAAAAGAACCAACGGCCACCTTCAGAAGAGAATCAGTCATTGAATTCAGCAAGAACCAAGGAAGTGGGTGTACGTACGCAAACGCACCAAATCGATCTGGGTTTGCTTTGATCTTCTCCGCGATATAATCGTTGATCTCAACTGCTAACGCCTGTGCCTCCTTTGCGTCCCAGATATCTTGGACACCAGGCGCTGTGTAGGAGAGGATCTGGTAGCCGACGCCATGCTTGTCGGCGTGTTCGATACGGATCTTAGTGATGTCGGTGATTTCCTTGACGTGGGTTTCGGGGTCGGTAGAGAACAGACTGGCCCACCAGCGAGTCTTTTCTTCGAAGCGGGGAAGCGCAAAGGCTTCCTCGAGGGCGATCTTTCCAAGCATCTTTTGTATGGAATGTTGCTTCACCTGACTAGCGCTGGCCGGATTTGACGAACAGAATAAGGGGGATGAAGCGAGTATATAGTGAATGGTCAGATCTTCATTCGACTGATTATTTGGATGAACTGTTGCAAGCACCGTTTGTTGAACACTTCCGTCCTTTATACTAACTACTGCTGCGATGGAGTATACATCATCATACCTATGTATGGGGGTGCGGACCGAAGCCGCACCCGCACCGCACTGCCGACGAAAAGCGATTCCACTTCTCCAGAAACAGTCGGAATGCGGATGATCAATCCATAGTAAATATCTATACTTTTGGAGACACTGGTATTAAATCATGTCCTTTTCCGGTGGCTGACGATGCAAGTAATATGGGGCTGAGGGGACCTCATCAGCCTAGCATTCCACCACATATAGCACGTGGCTCAAGATCAAAGTGAGAATATAATTTCCCTTCTGGGCCCCTACAGGGATAACTAATGGATTATTTCAAAGTCGGTGTAGTGAGAGATAATCTCGATACTTATGAAGCTGACTGAGCAAGTGTTATTCGAAATGCGGGGTTCTTCTAGTCCATACTTCCCTTGAAATAATACTATCAATCCACCAGAACGGGTCCGATTACATTCCGTCGGAAAGGGATTCAGTACTTCTAGTTTTATGATTTCTAGCAGGAAAGAATAATAAGTTACTCCTGATATCATCCGACGTGCCGTCAGCGATCCGACGGGGCTCTCAACCCCGCAAAATGATGGATTGGACAAGGCTAGGCTAGTAGGCCACTGATATAAGCGGAGGCATTATAGCATTACCTTTTAGTATCGATCATTAGTACCAATAGAGAACGGTATAGCTTAGCAAGAGAGGAGAGTATTGCAATTGTCATTGGATATGACACTATTGTATCATGCAACTGTCAAGCTTGTCAGGTTTGCTGACAGGACGGAGTCCAAGTTGATACGAATATTTCAAACCTGAAAGATATGCATTATTGGACTTCTTGAGACGAGTAATGGCACATGACAGAGTAAGCCTCGCTGAGTTCGAAATATGTCTTAGCATCAATGAATGTATTGTGGGGTGGGGTGACTGGCCTTCATGGGAAGTATCGCTGTGACATATATTGCGAGGATATGGACATGGACACTCATTGGAGAATCGCGGTCAGTCTGTGCAGACAAATTGATTGAATTACCAGCTCAATGTTCCCGAGGATAAAACATACCTCAGCAACCTAGATTCGGGGGAAAAAATGACAGAGAAACAGAATGAGTGACAGCCTTGTCACGTCGCTTGTCATGAGGTCCCTCATGCATCACTTCCCTCTTTCCTGTCTCCGTCAGCTTCGATCTACCCATCATAACCAACCACTTTCGGGCGTCCCATTTCTTTGGTTTCTGTATTTTTATCCTCCGAATGTGATCTAGCGCCTCAATTTATGACCTGATTAATCATTTGCCTTTGATGAATGGATGAATCCACTTTGGAGTGATCAGCATCAGCGAGCACCAGACAAGGGTTGACAGCCCCAGAGATCCGCAATTCGGACAGCAGTCAACCCCGGACAATAGACCAACAGAGCGATTCGACGTGGCTGTGCGGCAACTGGGCGGAATACGAGACTCATTGCTTTCATTGTCTGCATCCTTGGCATTTTCCTCGATCTTATTGCTCAGCCGCCACCAATGACCATTGCTTGCTGACACCCATCGTAGGAATGAGCGGGAAGAGAGAGATGAGTAGAAAAAGCAATGGATGATCGCAACAATATCAGTGGATCTCTGTCGTCACTGAAGGGCCTCGAGTCTTCGTGCCTGGGGCTCTGCTCAAGGGAATCGTGCTCATGGATGTACTTCTCCTGCGCAGCCAGCACCTTGCTTCTTTGTCCTCGAGAGCTCCCAAAGAAATATTTAGCCTTCTCTGCCTCTCTTTGTTGCTACCATTTATGCTAGTATTCAGTACCTATGGTCAGTTTCAGCCCTGTCGTTTCAAATCTTTATTAGAAATTTTCTCTTTGATGGTATCCAACTCTATCGCAAATTTAATCAGCACGGCAAATCGTGTGAGATTTCGAATCAATCAACTTGCGTCGATCTCCTGGTGATATTAGTGTGCACTGATGCAAAGATACAATTCAGTGAACTGCGTTGATTCTTTCCGACCTGTTTAACAACAGCGCTGCCATTTGCAGGCATCAGAAGCATACATCTGCTTCGCTTCATCGTTCATTAGAAGATGCCAGGGCCCGGTGATTTCGATATTTTCGGGGACGTCGCCCACGAACAACGAGTTGAAGATATCGAACATGCGCCAGAAAGGACCAACACCTTCCTGCCCCAGCGCAGATATCTATCGGCCGCAGAGCGAGCACGACGCAACTTGAATGCTAAACTCGCCAATCCACTGGCAGGTTATAGCCACGAGGAGCTGCGCAGTCAAGGAATCAAATTCGCTATAGAACACCATATGGGTGACGAAACTGACATTCGCGCTTTTGAGTTAGGCGCCCTTCTGGCCCAAGAGCCTGAAAAGTTCGATTCTTTCAGAAACCTGCTGACGGAAGAGGAATTCGAGATTTTGCATCATGAGTTCACTCATCGTTGGTCGCAACCTTGGACAATGTATTTGGTTATTGCCTTGTGCTCTCTCTCAGCAGCAGTGCAAGGAATGGGTAAGTGACAGAATCAACCACGCTTGTGTACCTAGTGCTAAAGCTAAGTCCGCTTTCAACAGATGAAACGGTTGTCAATGGCGCTCAGATCTTCTACAAGACCCAATTCGGCATTGACGATGAAACCTCGCGGTCTCGCTGGTTGCTCGGGTTGGTGAACGCCGCACCATATCTGTGCTGCGCCGTCCTTGGTTGCTGGCTGGCAGTCCCTTTCAACGCATGGTTTGGTCGCCGCGGGACGATCTTCATTACATGCTGTTTCTCCGCCATCGCTTGCCTGTGGCAAGGGTTCGTCAACACTTGGTGGCATATGTTCATCTCCCGGTTCGTCCTGGGCTTCGGCATTGGCCCCAAGTCCGCAACTGTTCCCATCTACGCGGCCGAAACGGCTCCCCCCGCCATTCGTGGTGCGTTAGTGATGCAGTGGCAGATGTGGACTGCATTTGGCATCATGCTGGGCTATGCAGCAGACCTTGCTTTCTTCGAGGTCCCGGACCCTCCAAACCTTGTCGGGCTTAACTGGCGCATCATGATGGCCTCTGCCATGTTCCCAGCTATCTTGGTCTGCTTGTTTGTATTTTCCTGTCCGGAGTCACCGCGTTGGTACATGTCCCAGAACCGCTATTACAAGGCCTACGAATCGATGTGCAGCCTGCGCGCGCACAAGATCCAGGCCGCTCGAGACCTTTATTACATGCACACCTTGCTGGAAGCAGAGAAAGGGATGAAGCTCGGTCAGAACAAGATGATAGAACTCATCGCCGTGCCTCGGAACCGGCGCGCCCTAATCGCATCCGAGATCGTCATGTTCCTGCAACAGGTAATTAACCCTCCAGTCATAGCAAATTTTCCGCTGTCTAACTCAAGTGTTCTAGCTATGTGGCGTGAACATCATCGCGTATTATTCGTCCGAAATCTTCATCAAGGTGACATCAGCCCGAAACGCCCTAGCGACATCCTTCGGCTGGGGCGTCGTGAACTGGCTCTTCGCCATCCCCGCGGTCTACACAATCGACACATTCGGCCGTCGCAATCTCCTCCTCACTACATTTCCTCTCATGGCCCTCGCCTGGTTCTTCACCGGCTTCAGCTTCTACATTCCTACCTCGGAACATAGCAACGCGCAGCTTGCCTGCGTCGCGCTAGGCCTCTATCTCTTCGGCGTAATCTACTCCGTCGGCGAGGGTCCAGTGCCATTCACCTACTCGGCAGAAGCCTACCCACTCTACGTCCGTTCGTACGGCATGGCCCTAGCTACGGCAACAACTTGGCTCTTCAACTTCCTCCTGGCCATCACGTGGCCCTCACTGCACGATTCGTTCAAAGACCAGGGCGCGTTCTGCTGGTATGCTGCTTGGAATCTGATCGGATTCGTGCTGGTGCTTCTGTTCATGCCAGAGACAAAGGGGAAGACGCTGGAGGAGCTGGACCAGGTGTTTTCGGTGCCAACGCGGTTTCACGCGGCGTATGGATTGCGCCAGATCCCGTACTTCTTCAAGAGGTATATCTTGCGTCGGCAGGTGAAGCCGGAGATATTGTACGAGAGGGAAGACCCGGTGGGTTATTCGAGTGATTCTGTTTTCAATACTGCGGATTGGAGCAGGACAAGATACGTGCGGGGACATTGAAAAGATCAGTCTGCAGCTGAGCCGCTCTGCTGTGCGATGTTGGCGTAAATACATGTACATACTAATTTTGCATTGCGATACGACTATAACGCATGTAGATGATGACACGGCGCTCTATGATAATGACATTGCAATTTGGTTTCATATATAATAGGTTTAGTAACCGAGTCTAAGGTGTATTAACATCAACTAAATAAGTGGCGGGCATCGTGGCGGCCTGCCCGGAACAGTCCGTCTCTGTCTCACTGTAAAGAATTAATATACTTTGTCCAAGTAAGCCATCAAATGTAAAAGCCATGACGACGCGCTTGCGAGGGGAACAAGACAAGGAAGGGTCACTTTCTCAGACAGCAGTTGGAACGATTGTTGATCCGCATAGAATACTCAGAACAGGTCTGTGTGAAATCTTGCTTCATCATAGGAAGTGAACCCTAAGGACAGAAGGAGGGGAAGGCAAGGAAAAGAGACACGTGATATGAGGGGATAGTATCCTACCTGTTTGAAGCACAAATCTGCGTCCATAAGACCTAAGATGTTAATCATGCTGTCCCAGTTAGCCGATAAAACTGATTGGCTGTCTCTTGCCTAGACGGCTGGAGAGTATTGCGAACAGTCCCTCCCGTGCGCTCAACCTGCTGCGCCGTGGTGTCAAGATGAGTTGTATCATCGACGGCCATAACGGTCATTGACCATCCAGA